GTCATCTTTTAACTCATGCTCAGAACAGCGTTCCTACGCACGAGAAGCAGAAAAGCGAATCTCCGGTGTCTGAGCGTGAGGAGAACAGCTGCAGCATCGGTGATGCCACTCAAGATTCCTCTCAGGAAGACGATAATTTAAAAGATTCGAGTTACCAGAGGTCTGGCGAGACGGCGTCGGTCAGAAATGATCCGGCGTCGAACGACCCAGCACTGGACGAAGAAGATTCTAAGAGTGAATGCCAAGGACTCATAGACAATCCTCAGAGTATGCCTCCTTTTGATTGCATTTCTTCAGAGGCCGCCAGACTAGTGAACAGTCTTTCGGACAACCCGTCGAACATACAAAATCTACTGAGCATGTGGATGCAGCCGGCTTTAGCTATGGAGCGATATTATTCCAGTCTACAGCAGCTTCTCTCCAGTCAGGCGGAAGCCGAGCAGATGTCATCAAAAAGCTCTGTAAATAACGGCAACGACAGTACGGAAACAACTGCAGCTCTGTCCCCTGACCAAGCGGCAAGCCCAGCAAGTGTGCCGACCGGCACTGCTTCCCTAAACGGCTCTACGCCGTCGGCAAATACCTCATCAACCAATGTAAACAATACTAGTTTCAATTCTCTCAGCCTTGCGCATATCAAGCGAGAGAAGAGGAATGACAGTTGCGATTTCTGTGGAAAGGTAGCGAGATGCTGTTTTATGTTCTGTACGACTTTCTGGTCATAATCGGTCGCTTTCAGGTGTTCACAAACCGGTCCAATCTCATCGTGCATCTTCGTTCGCATACAGGCGAGAAGCCTTACAAATGTCGACTCTGTCCGTACGCTTGTGCGCAGAGCAGTAAATTGACACGACATATGAAGACGCACGGGCAGCAGGGAAAGGTAAAGAGTTTTTAAACATTATATCAGTTAAGTTAAACTACTTAATCCGTTTCATTTTGGTGATCGTAGCACTCATTTGTTTTTCACTCAGTCTGTACATGACGAAAAATTAATGAACATTAAAACCAAATCATTACTTAATGCTGTTTTTGTTACTTTATACTTAGTGTGTTCATGGCTTCATCCTTATTTCTGAATTCCCTCACCGGTATACTTAGAAATCAAGACTGTTTTGAACGCTATTAATTTGTTTGCTGTACAAGTCTTGTCACCGGTGAAAATCAGTGGGAACGATAACCGTCTGGTAGCTTTCTTTTTATATGTTACAAGCGTTAGTGGCATGTGGAGTTTTCTTTTTTGCTAAATTTTTAAGCAAGAATCCATCCGCTGTGCTCCAGTGCTACCATCCGGGAGAAGACCGCGTGCGCAAAATTCACATGTAGTTCTACAGCCATTTGTGAAGCTTATAATCCCACTGTTAAGTATCCAGTGAAGCAAAGGGCACCTCTTCTGATCACAACAAAATGTAAAGCAGCAATTTAAAGTTTCAACATTTCAAGAAGAGGAGAAGGTTATTTCTCCTGTCGAGTATCCCTTGTTGACAAGATAAAAATTAGAAGGAGGTTTTTAAGGATCTGATAACATGAACGGGGCTGACAAAATGCCTTTTTATATCATGCCTGTTTGATTTATCCCAGTTTCGTCATCATGTTGAAGCTAAGGTATCAGTGACTTCCATGAAACAACTGTTAAACGATCAATCCCCATATACAGCGTGGCAATAGTTTCGAATCGAAAATTCCCCGCTGATGAGGGCAGCTGGTAAGTTCTGTATCCAGTGCTGAAATGTATGGATAATGAACTGAGTGGCCTCTAATTCAGATCCATCAGATTTTCTGACGAGATATCCAAACCAAAGAATTGTCGATATTTGCTCCGGATGACAAATCCATACACCTTGCTGTATGTCAACTAAATCAGTAGTATATAACCCATTTCGGCATTGTTACTCATTCACCTAACTGAGTGACAAATGTCATCTTCCGTTGACAAGGAGAAGGCATGGTGCACAAGTCTGAACAACTTTATTACGATGAAGTTATTTTCTCTTCTTCTTCATATTATCCGTCAATTATCACCGATATCTTTCGATTTTTTTACGGATAAAACCCTCTTTCCCGCTAGGGATGATGACACGAAACGATTTCACCACGGTTTATTTGGAAAATGTGCAGACAGTCCTCTATCATACCGATTGGGGTCAAATTTGCTAAAAGATCATTAAAAGTTTTGTCAGCCACTGAATACCAGTGGCTTTTAAGTCGATGATTTTTAGTTCAGCAATGGCCTTCACGCCTGTTATAGCGGCTCCGTCGTACTTATTGCAGTTCGATCACATCGTTTAGTGGTTTTACGTTTTTCGCCATCGGTGACTCTTAAGATATACCATGAAGAAGGATCTGGGGAGTAAAATCATAATATCATATTTATTTTTCCATAAATTCCCCATCTGAAGAAGTCAATTAAAATTGCTTTCGTTTTGTTCATTTCTTAAAATATTTTGATGTCTTTTAACAATAATGCAGCTCAGTCAATCAGTCATTTTCATAACCGCTTGTCGTTTTGGATCTCGCCGGCAGAAGCATTTGACATTGCTTCCTACGATCCCGATGCTGTGCCAGCGTTTGAGTTTCGGCAAAAGACAACCCCGTTTAGAGCAGGCTACTTCAATACAATACACGTACCCCAGGTTAATCTGGGCAGTCTCCTGGTTCTTCTGCGTCGGCTAGGCAAGCAATAGTTCCTCCGCCTTCTTTTCGGGAGGCATTCATATTACGCGCATCAACCATGGCAGCTGTGTTTTTTCAGTCTGAGAAAAAGCAGCAGGTGAGCCCAGCTATTCGTTTCAGCCATCTGCACCCTCTCTCAAAGTTTTTAAGTCATGGCCCACAACTTATGACAGTATTTGAGCATGGGGACGAAAATGGACTTGATTACAGAAAACATCGTCTTCAAGTTCACCTCTGTTTTAGTCACAAGGTTCGCGCAAAACGCTACTGGCTATTCCAGTCCGCCGATCGATCTCTCTTCCGCAGATTTTCCATCACCACAGAACATGACCCTGAGGAATGTGAACTTAACTTGTTCCACTGCTTCTCCGTTTATTTGAAGGTAGCAATGGACAGGAGAAGGAGAAAGCACTAGGCTTTTCGTTTTAAATACTTTTACGCGAATGCCAGCCTCATAGCACTCGGTTGTGAACCTTTTCAGACAGCTGTGTAGATCAGTTTCAGATGACAACAAAACGAGGTCGTCCGCAAACATCAACTTTCTCCTCTTCACATCTCGTACTCTAATATACTCATTGCCCCATCGGCGTCTGACTTCTATGCACGTACAGAG